TAGACCGCGAGGCCACCAGGGCGCCCAATTAATGCTTTAGTCTGATGTGTCATTACAAAAAGAGGAACTGGTAGACTCTGTCTTCAACTGCTGAATGCATTTGTCATAAAATCATCCAGTGTAGCTTTATTTAGACAAGCAAAGGGGAGAACAACACAAACATGTGCTTAATATCTTTATGTATATTTTTGCTAGAATTAAACATGTTGTGTGTTGATAATATATAAAATTGCTGATGGATTTTTATAGAACTGCCTCTGCTATGACCTCCATCTGTACAGATTAGAGTGACAGCAACTCTTTATTTTAACTATATTAAATCTAGTTCATGTACATGAAGCCAATTTATTTTGAGCAGTTTGAGTTTTTAAATCAGCACAGTTGTACATTTTCTTAATATAACGAACTAGTGTCTCGATCCTGAATGATGAGACTGACATGATGACTGATGTTATATTACATTGTAACAAAAAAAAGCCAAGGTTAACAGTTCTCCATCCAGAACCATCAAAGCTACAGGGATGAGCTACAGTTCAGGTACTCTATTATTGATGACATAAAAACTTACCTAATATTACTTTTGTGCAGACATGGCTCTGGGATGCTTTGACGCCATGTTTGTGCAGCGCAGCTGAGGAAAGGCCATTAAAATATAGTTTACAGTTTAAACAGTGTAAATATTCCCAGACATTTGAAAATGTGTCCTGTGGGTTTTGTTGAACTTTCAGCCAGTCTCAATGAAAGAAATGTATTCTTCTCCTTTCTGCTGCATGTCAGGCATTAAAGCCCTTTCAAGTTGTGCTGCTACCCAGCGCTTCCTTTGCACACTCCTTCATTTGTAGACTTTTCCATACATTCAGCCTGAAAATGAATAATTCAACTCGACTACAAAACTCTATGTTCATTATATCAACTAATTAGTACAGCATTAATGTCTCTGGATTGTGCTGTCTTCTTGAACTTGTTTCTTTGCATAAAGGTACACTTTTTCTTCCCCTGTCTGCATTAGCAGGCATTGTTTACCTGCACCAATATCAAGAAAACAAATTCCTGTAGATTTACTTTCTTGGCCAATGAAGTTATTCTGATTCAATGAGGCAGTCTGACAGTCTGCTACATTTCTGAGCCTGGAGTTGAAATTGAAAGGTAGGTATAGACAGTACTGTGGGTGCCACTACAAAAACTAAAAAAGCACTGTTGGATCCTTTTGTATTTCCCCAGGCCAGATGGTTTTAATAAAGACCGACTGCATACTAAATCTACCTTACGCTTTGCTGGTGGCAACTGCACCCACTGTGTGCTTTTAGTTTGCATTCAATTTCAGTCAGCAAACTGGAGAATTCATGAGCACATTGTTGGTCATTAATAGTCTTGAACAATAATAAGACCAGGTGATTGATTGTGAACAGAATCTCTCTCCTTGTAACATTAATTTCTTTGTTTTTCTCCCCTATCATCTTTTTTTTCCTCTTCTGCCTCACTCTTATATCTTCTAACTCACTCTCTCCTCTATCTCGCTCTTGTGCCCCCCCCCTCTCTCTTTCTCTCTCTCTCTCTCTCTCTCTCTCTCCTACATCTTATTCACTCTCTCTCTGCGCTCCTGGAGCGGGGGATGCCAGGGGGACAGAGTGCAGATAGGACCTGTCTCCATAGCAACAGCTTCTGCAAGCTGCTGACACCCTACTGGGGTGGTGGTGGTGGTGGTGGGGGGTTACAGGGGTTGGGGCACAGAGAAGGTTTATGTGTGAGTGTATAGATATGTATGCATGTGTATTTGTGTGTGCACCAGTGCTGGGAAAAATAAGTGAGGGGGGTCACGGAGAGGAGAAAAGATGGAGAGAAAAGTGTGAAGAAGAGAGTGAGGGAGATGGATGAGAGAGAGAGAGGGAGGGAGGGAGGATGGAGGAGAGAAAGAGGCAGCCGACCCAGCTTCTTCCCCAGGGACTCAGTGGCCTGCTCATGTTCACTAGCAGAATTAGCATAAAGATGGGGGGAGGTGTGTGTGTGTGTCATTGTGTAAGTGTGCAATTTTTTTTCTTTCTTTTTTTTTTCTTTTTTTTAGTTTTTCTGTGTGTTGGTTTCAGATAGTCAGGAGAAGAAGGGCAGCGAGTGTTTTTGTGTACATGCGTGTAATTGGTAGTATGCGTTGTTGTCCAAGCATACAGTATATGTCACATGGATGCAGTGCGTTCGTTAGGTGTGTGTGTGCTGGTTGAACGGTGGATGCGTCTGTGTGTGTTTGTGAGAGCTACTCCCTCCCCTGGGTCTTAAACCCCCTCCCTGTTCTGGTCCTGTAGCCTGTGGTTCTCCCCTGTCTGCCTCTCTGTACTGAAGGGCTTCACTTTATGAGCCTGTGATGCAACTCTTTGTGAGTTGTGTGTGTGTGTGTGTGTGTGTGTGTGTGTGTGTGTGTGTGTGTGTGTGTGTGTGTGTGTGTGTGTGCGCGCGTGCGCGTGCGTGCGTGCATTCATGTGATTGTGTGTGCGTTTGTTCCGGCGTGCTTATGTAAGCACTCTGAACATGCGTCTCCGTCTATGTGTGTTGACAAGAATACAGTTATATCATATTTAACTCCCGGGCTGAATCATTCTCCCCCCTCTTCTATCCTAGATTCTAGTTTTATTCTTTTATATTGTTTGACTGACGTAAAGGGGATTGGAAACGGTAGTGTTGTTGTTGCATGTGGTAATATGATTAGTGTCAGTTAGGCAGCTGCTCTCATCAGGTTTAAGTGATACTTGTTTTTTTGCTTTTAAACATCTTCAGCTCTCCAGACTTTAAACAACATCTAATACTTATTAACTAGAAGCACACTCGGAGATCGCAGACCTCCGCCAAGGCCGATGTCCTACAAGATACACCAGATTTCAGTGAAAGAAAATTCACATTCATAGTAAATCATCTGGATTGGCCCAAAAATTTAATGGGTTCTCTCCTGGCTCATGCCCAATACCTCCAAGTTCGGTGCAAGTCGGCTCAGTTTTGCGTAATCCTGCTGACAAACAAACAAACAAACAAACAGACATTGGTGAAAACATGACCACCTTGGCAGAGCATATGAAAAAATACAAACCCAAAGACAACTTGTTTTAAAGATGCCAATCCATGGATGAGACATAACAGATCTATTTTACTAGTCTATGCAGTGGCTAGCAGCTCACTCTCAGTCTGAACAGAAAGGCACACTTGTCTACTGGCAAAGTGAAAGGAGTCAGTTGCCTTTTTTAGTGGGTTTACCTGCGTTTAAAAAAACCTGTATATACGCACTAAATTTGTTGATAATATGATACTGAAGCTCACACCTCCCATGGATTTTATTGGAATCAATGCAAAGAACAACTTGACTCAACACAGTTTTACTGTATATCATGAAATACATGTATTATTATGAATTCATAATAAAATATTTTCTTTCTCATAGGATGTGCTTATGTAGTCATAATGTAAAACATTTGTTTTGTTTACTTTGACAGTTAGATTAGACAGTTATTGGTTATACAGTATTTGAGCAAAAGAAATCAACATCAGCTCTCAATAGGCCTTCTTCTAACACACAGCAGGATTAAGAGTTATGTGTCACTTGCTTTCAAATATTATTTGCTCTGTAGCTTTCTTAAAACAGCATGTAATGATTAAGAAACTGTACAACTCAACTTATTCGCTGATGACCTGATACTATTTATAAGCAGTGTAAATATATTTAAATACTTAAAGACACTCAATTGTAATTGATACATTTCCAGGGTCATTTTACAATCAGTAAAGTATATGTTATATCAATGTTGAATGTCAACCTGTTTTAAACTAAAACCTTTTTATTCAAATATAGCCAGTATTGGCCAAGAAAATGTAAAAGTATTCCTCTGCTTACAGGCAAGTTCTGACCTTTAGATATAAATTCTTTCATCATGATATACTTTCAAAACAGAGAAATGTGTGAGAAATTCCAAGTTGAAATTAAAATAAATATTTTTCTGTTAAACTTGTACATTAAATGTAACAAAACACGTAAAACTCTGACATTAACAAAAGGACCATTAGTGAACACAGCTTTAATGTAAGGGGGAAATGTGTAAAGTTACTGTACAAATATGCAAAGCTTACACAGCGGCTTGTCATTTTACACTTAAGTGAGGCACCTTTCAACTATATTGTAGTTCAATCCAACATCACCTCCAGACTTACTATAGAGCTGAAAAAACTCTGATGTTGTGAATAAAAACAATTTGAGGTTTCATAAAGGTTTGATTGATTATTTGCATGTCTGTTGTATTTGTATGTACCTAGCTGTTCTAATACACTAGCAACTCCAGTGTATATGATATCTTCCAAATCAGCCAATGATTGAGTTATACGTTACCGTACTGCCACAGTCAATGCAAGATATCACTGTTGCATTGATTAGTACATGGGAAGAACTTTGGAAAAACGGATATCCAAGAGGTTGAAGCTTTTTTTATCTTGTCAGATTTTATCATATAATAAAACAGAGCACCACAGTGTGGTTTTACTGAAGTAAACCAACATGTAAAAATGCATACAGATAATAATCATATCATTCATTACCTTACACACTAACTAGCTGTGATCCAGAAAGAACACCTCAGTATAGAACGATAAAAACACTTCCCCTCGATATACAGTCATGGGCTTTGGGAGAGAGGAACATCAGCATAATATTTTGGTGGTAGCTCTCCCTGAACCTTCCCTCTTCACTTCAGTCCTTGTCCACAGAAAGAGATGAGGTGGTTAATGCTGTTCTCTCTCTAACGCAGAGATGAGGGAACAATTTAAAGGTTGTAATAGAAGACACTTTGCTGAATTAACCATTAAACTTGAGATGGGAGGGGGGGGTGAGAGTTTGCTATGATTGCAGGTGCAGACACTGCCCCCTGTAGTAATTCGGTGGCCAGTGCATCATGTATAGAAATGTTACTGTAGAGCAGTGGCACACAAAAACACAAAACAGCATATTTAATCACTGCCTTTGTGCGTTTCAGAGCGCAGCAGCAGCGCCCAGCCCAGTGATGGGCAACATGCCCCCCAACGACGCCATGCCAGGTGGTCCCATGCCCCCAGGCTTCTTCCAGGTATGACCCACCCCCTCTGCCACTGTCCTGTTCACTCCTCCATCTCTCCATCACCTTCAAACCCACCCCTTTTTTTAATCCTTTTTCTGTCATCCTGTCTATCATTCACGCATTTAGATTTAGATGATCTAAATTTTAGGCAACATTTGCATATTCTTTGATTTCCATCTCCAGCACTGGGAGAATGGTGTCTTGTATCTCAAAATACTGTATAATTTTTAATCGAGTCATGTTTTAAAAACAATTTTGGCCTTTAGAATTTGTCTACCTGATAACCATCAGGAGGCCACTACTACAGATACCAGGTATGTGTATGTTCTGTAAGTTAGCAGGTATACTAAACATATGCTTAGGAGTAAACTGCAGCAGTAGATGTATTATATGTATATTTATATATAGGTTTCTCAGTTTAAGCTTGTTAGAGTTTTGTTTTGTGTTTAATTAGTATATTTATCTTTATTACTGTTTTCTATATTATATAATAGTTATAATCCTAATAAAACAAGTTTATTGTTCAACTGTAGTCAGATATATCTTTACCACAAAATGTCAGTTATTGGCTGATCTGTTGCTATGAGACTTTTAGTATTTTAAAAAACCCAGTGTCAGTCTGGCTCTACTAATTAAATCCTTCAGTCTAAAATCAATAATGTAGTTTGACCAGATGACACCACAGTTACAGTTTGGGTCTCCAACTCTCCCATTTGTTTTTCCTTTTTTCCCCCACATTTTTCCAAAAACCGTTTATTCCTCTCTTGATATTTACACCCACCACAGCCTCTGAAGCTCACACCGTTCACTCATCTGCTCTCTCCGGGCTGCTGTTCAACCGATTCGTGATTCAACCCTGCCATATTCATCCTCTTCTCCACTCCTCCATCTCCATCCCCGTCTCTGTCTCTGACCTGTCCCAGCTCTGTGAAGGGAAAGGTTTTAGTGTGGGAAATGGCTGTCTGTACAGTGAAGAGAATGAAACACACACACACACACACCCAGCTACATATATAAAGACATGCAGGCATATGTGCACACATTCACAAACAAAAGCGCACACACACACATGTTCTCTGTGAGGCAGTGGTGTGATGGACAGCACTGGCATTTGGCAGGAGGCACGATAAGGTGGTGGAGAAGAGTAAGAGAGAAGAAGCAAGTGACACGATAGAGAAGGGGAAGGATGAAGAGAGATGAAGAAGGGGTGAGAGGAGAGAGGAGAGGGGAAATGTGAAAGATCAGTGCCTCAAGAATTGTGGCCCAGTGTTTGTCTCTGTGGCTACCTACCACTTGGTTGTTTGCTTGCTGGGAGTGAGGCAATGTGCTGAGAGGAGGGGGGTGGGGGGGTAGCAGCAGTGGTGGTGGTTGTACTAGTGAGAGTACGACTGTGAATAAGCTAGGGGAAGGGGGGGGGGGGGGAGGCGAGACGCATGGAAGTACTATTTATAACATTGGTGGGGGAGTGAGATTGGGCGAGTGTTTGTGTGTGTGCATGTGTGTTTGTGTATGTGTTGCGTTCAAGGGACCTTATTGTAACAGAAAGCTTTGGTTGTTTTCTGCAGATATTGCTCATGCTCATAGTTAGGGCTGGGACTCATTAGAAATGTTTTTGATACAGGGGTATGACACTGAGTTTCAGTCCTGACACCTGAACAACACTTTTTACAATACTCCATTTTGAGAAATATGCAACACTCTTTTTGTCACTATTTTTTTCGTTTAATAAAAGAAGTGTGCTCAAATGTTAAATGTTGTGAAAAACACAATCGGCTGTAAGAAACTTAAAAAATAAATGGTTTAGAACTAGCAGCATGATTTAAGTCAGATATTGTTTGATCAACAGATCAATCTTTTTTTTTTTTTTTTTTTTTTTTGCGGTACGTTTCTCATGAAATATCAGCAATTGAAGCAACTCTTTGTCACATAATAGTAAACTGAACATCTTTAGGTTTTGAACTGTTGCTCGGATAAATCAAGCTATCTAAGTATATCACCTTGAGCTCTCACCATTTTCTGACATTTTATAAACATGGTGATTAATCAATAATGAAAATAAATATGAGTCTGACTAGATATTTGATTCCATGTTTGGTTACAGGAAAGTTTCAATACTCAGCGCTACAGAAACACATGATTTCAGTACCCACCCCAACTTACATTGCCAGTGTTTATATGTTTGTGACTGGTGCCATTTCAGACTTCTGACAAGATGCAGATGCTTGTACTTTGAGACCTTTTTTTTTTTTTTTTCATGTCATTATTTTACCCTAACACTTGCAATGGAACAACACAGGAATTATTTATTGAAACCTGTTGAGCTAAATGGACAAATCTCAATATAGTTTGCACTTCCTGACCCAAAAACATGCTTTAATGGGCCAACTATAGGTACAGATAATACCCACAGACTCACTGAGGTAATCCATATGTGTGTTGTTTGTGTGTTGTTTGTGTGTGTCCGGATGCCTGCGAGGGACACATGGAAAATTCCATCTGCTGTTTGTGAATTGGCCAGCTTTTTGTCTTCTTCACACAATTGCAAAAAGGGGGGGTGGAGAGATGAAGACACCGACAGCGATAGAGCGGAAGAGAGACTGTGGCATAATGAGTTATTTATTAGGGGTCGTTAACCTCTTGTCTTGGGGTGAAATGTCAGCAATAACACAGCAGTGTGTGGAGAAGCTGGGGGGTTGCTCTCTTTGTGTACAGGGATACGGAGTCATGCTGAAGTAGGTTTACAATACGCAGGGAGAACTTCCAACTTTTCCGTGTTTTTGTCAGTGTCATTCTTTCTGGTTTGAAGTTGCCACTAGTGCCTGTCCTGCTGCTGCCTGAGAGTGAGCCTTTGGCAACACTGCCCCCATGTGTTTAAGAGGAAAACTGTATGTAATCCTTTGACCCGAGGGGTCCCGCGGATCATCTCTTCCGGTGCAGCCACACATGTTAAGCACATCCGGCAAAATAATAATGCTTAACACTGATTTTCTGTGAGCTTGTTTGGACCTAAAGGCGAATGAAAACTGTTTTCCTTTTGGGCTATGGCTTTTAGTTCTCTGTTTTTTGTGAAACAAACGTCAGATTTTTAAAGAATCTGCCCAAAATGTTCAGCTTTTTCCACCCTCCTGCTCCTCTTCTTCCTCCTCAGCCTAAAAACTCCCCACTCACTCCCCCTTCTCGTCCTCCTCTTTCTTATAATTTTGATCGGGTAATTCCTTCAGGTGTAAACCCCCCTTTTGGCCCCTCTCCTCTCTGATATCGCTCTTCTTTCTTAAAGGGACCACCCGGCTCTCAGCAGTCCCCCCACGCACAGCCCCCCCCACACAACCCCAGCAACCCCATGATGGGACCCCATGGCCAGGTAAGATGCAAACACTTTCTCTCAAACACCCCCTATCTCTTTCCTTCCCTCCAAATCCCCCCCTACCCCCTCGCCCACACACAAGCTCTTTTTCTTTCCATTCACTGCTCGCACACTCTCTACTTCTTCTTCTTCTCCTCTTACCCTCGAGCCCCGTTAGATCTAGTTTTGTTCTGGCTAATTCCCCGTAGATGTCAGCCCCTCCAGTTGCCAGCTCTGTTATAAAAGCGGAGCATCCAGAGGCAGCAGGGCCTGCTCCTCTGCAAGGCCCACAATCGTCTGTCCCCGTGTGGGATGAATAATTCACTCCTTGCCCCTCCCCCGGAGCAGCATGTGGGGGGTTGCACACTTATCTGCTCCTCCACTCTTAACACACACACACACACGCATGCACAGTGCACACTCCCCTCCCCTTTGCTTACTTGTTCTAGCACCTTATTAATAAAACAGGGGACAGGCACTATGGACACGTCACATATACATACAAAAACACATGGGCACACATACATACATGCACTCAACACACGTATAGGACAATCAGAGTTTTGGGTTTCTCTAGCTGCCAACCACCTAAAAGCATATTCAGCGTATTAAGCCTTAAACAACTTTCATCCTTAGTCAGCGTCTGTTTCAACACCTATTCAGAACAGTAGCTACAGATGCCACAGTGGAGGTAAAGCTGGCCTTTGGCAGCCACGGCTCTTAATTCTTGTGGTTTCTCGTTTCCGTCTTGTGTGCGAGAGAGTGTGGACATGCTTCCTCTAAGGTTTTTGAATGGTGTTGTTGGCCTGAGGTGTCTCTAACTACGCCAGGCAGACCACAAGCAGAATCAGCTTACACTACAGTGACAGCAGGCAGGGACCTGTGTGAGCGTGGTCTTTACACACACACACACACACACACACACACACACACACACACACACGTTGACCTGCACACCTACAAATGTATGCTTTGAGTGCATATTGTTGTGTTTGAGTAGGCACTGTTAAAAATCAGAAGACACAGATTCTCGCTTAGGTGTATTTTTGATGTTTTCAGGCTGATGTGATGAGTTTGCGACTGTTCACTGTCATCCTCCATTCTCCCACCGCACTGTGTCCATCTGTGTGTCCTCGGTGCTACCCCCTGTCTGAGTGCTCTCGGATTTATTAATAATGAAAATGTCGTTTTCTCTCTGTCCCTCTTTTCCCCACATACCCCCACCCTCAACCATCCTTTTTTTCCTACTTCTTCCTCCATTTCTCTTTGCAGCCTTTCATGTCACCGCGGTATCCAGGTGGACCGCGCCCCGCACTCCGAATGCCAAATCAGGTACTAAACGGGATTTTGACATTGCTCACCCACTTCTATGTTGATTTTGACCGCTCACAGAGTTTTTGTGTTGCCAAGAATGTGCCAGAAATGTAATCGGTTTCCATGTCTGGTCTTTCCTCAGCCTCCTGGGGGAATCCCTGGATCTCAGCCTCTCCTGCCAAACAGTTTGGACCCGACAAGACCGCAAGGTACAACTGGGACAGATGTTGCAGTCACAGGCCTGAGATAGGGTGCCTCATCAGGAAATAGGTTTTTTTTTGTATAGTGAATAAAATGTTTGTAATAGAGGACGCCTCTATTAGGGCTGTAACCAGTAACTATTTTTGTTACTGATGAATCTGTTATGTAGTTTTTCAACAAAACGGATACTTTTTAAGTCTTTGTCAGCACATATAAAATTCATGTGTGGACCTTAAATCAGTTAAGTTATTTTTTAATTGATTAATCCATCCATCCATTCATATTCATGTTTATTATGTTTATCCAATTATGGATGTTATTAGGAGTTATTGTTATATACAGTTGGCGAATAATTCCAGGCCTTATCACACCTCCTGATTTTTGTTCAAGATTTTCATACTTGTCTTAAATTGGTGTCTTAAATTGTATTCTGTGTGGTAAATAAAACTTGAATGGCCATCGCACGCTCCCAGAGCCCAAGAGGTTGCCATTCAAATTTGTGTTTGCAAGAAAAAAAAAAACCCAAGGGCTTGACTTCATAAAGATAAGAGAGATGTCCTCCAACATGAATAGCTACAGAGCTCCAAATATTTGAAATTTTTGTTTGACAAATTGCTTTGAGTGAATAATTAATTACTAAAATCTTTTCTAACCTTGACTAATAAATTAAGCACTAGACTTTTGACTGTTTTGACTATTAGATTGTTAAAATGTTTCTCCTGTCCTGTGTGGACTGAGTACTGGTGGGTGTGTCTGGCTCAGGAAGAGCTCTGTGGTGATTTTAGCTGCAGATTACAGCTTCAGGGGCCAGAGGGGTACGACTAATGGGATTAGGATGGAGTATTGTCTGTGGCATGTCTTAATTCCTGATTTAAAGAGACGAGCCATATGTGGATTTATATGAGAACATGAGTGTGATGTGTGTCGCAGTCGGTGTGACCCTCTTTTTGTTTCTGTCCCTCTAGGACATCCTAACATGGGTGGACCAATGAGAATGAACCCTCCTCGAGGAATGGCCATGGGCCCACAGGTATGATGAACCTGTGGCCTAGTACACACACACATGCACACATGCACACATGCACACACACTTAAATTTATTATTGAACATCAATTAGAAAACATCAGTTAGAATCTGATTAAACACTTTGGCACCTTAAAAGTATCAACAGATGTGGTGATTATACTAGACTGATTTTACCAATGTCACTAAACTGTCATCACATTAAACACATGGTGTATTCTTATGTAGTATAAATTACTGTCCAAGTAGATGTGTTTGCTCTTGCAGGTTAAAAAGTGTTTTTTCTTGAACTGTAGTTTCTTCAGTACTCTCACCAGAACAGGCTTGTTTGTTGTTTGATGGATTATTTGTTTGTCTTAAGTGTTGCAGCTGCTGTCAGTCCTGTAATGTATGTCTTATATCACTAGGAAATGTGGCACAAAAGACTAAATCCAGGAACTAGAATCGCCAAAATCAAGGAAGACAAGCGTATAGTTGAGGAAAATCAAAAGTAATTTCTCTTGGTATGTTCTTACAATGTTTTTAATGTCCTCTCTTACAGAATTACGGAGGCATGAGGCCTCCTCCCAACTCCATGGGCGGTCCCATGCCAGGCATGAACATGTAAGTTAAAACACCTCATGAACCTGGTGGAGTCTTAAAGCAAGTGAAACCCTGCTCTTACTGTGTTTTCTAAGAGTCATTTATATGTCATTTCTCTTCACACTGTTTTTCATTTTTCCCTGTTTGTCGTTTTCTCTCTTCCATTAATTTTTCTGTTTTTTTTCCCTCAGGGGTCCTGGAGGAAGAGGGCCTTGGCCAGGACCTAATGCTAACTCTGTGAGTCAGAAACCTTTGACTCTTGACCTTTACTCATGAACACATGTAGGCGATGGTCGTGCAATCCTGTACAGTAGAGCAGCAAAATTCAGACTTCATGTTTAAAATATACAGCTTTGGTTGACACCATGTCAGACGGGTTTTGATTTTGAAGATTCATTTGTTGGATTGTTACACAAATATTGTAAAAAGTGTCCATCAGTCTGTTTTGGAGAGGGGCACTTTATGCGCATGGTTCATCTTTTCCATGGCAGTTTCCTTTTTAAAGGGATATTTACCAGACAAATGTCCTGAAAAACCGAGTTAAAATAAAACTTTCCCGACACAATCTGAACATTTACAAGCTTCACAGAAGTGATATTTACTGCAGGACTGTGGTGTTGGATTTTATTAAATTGTAAAATGATCCTCTTATCTTTTTTTTCCTCCAAATTTGGCATCCTCTGACCCTCAGATCTGATTATCTGTTTCCTCTTTCCCCCCTGCAGATAGCGTACTCCTCCTCATCTCCAGGAAACTATGTGGTGAGTTAAAATCTATCAAAAGCAGTGCAGCTTTCCAGGAGGAAAATATGCTTTTATTGTACTGATGAAGATGTTCTGATGAGTCTCATTTTAACCTCTATCACTGGTTACTCCCCAGGGTCCTCCAGGCGGAGGAGGTCCACCTGGAACTCCCATCATGCCCAGCCCAGGTGGTGCGTCACCTAACTATGTCCCCAGCACTAACAACTAGTCTTAAAAACACGTCTCTCCCATTTTTCCCCTCACTAAACAAGCATGAATGTGTCCCCTCTCTCACCATGCACCATCAGCAGAGTGTTCTCAGTGTTCATTCTTCACATCATCGTCCTATAACTAAAGTTTTTCTCTCCTGTTTTTTCTTAGATTCAACCAACTCCAGTGAAAACATCTATACAATGATGAATCCTATTGGACCAGGAGGCAACAGACCCAATGTGAGTCTCACATATGATCGAACTTCATTTCGTTATTCAACAAAAAAAAAAAAAAGCTCTTTAATTTTATTTAATGGCTTAAACTTTCCAGGCTTTTGTAACAGTTTCAGACACTGCGGATTGATTCTGGGTTAAAATAATGGATGTTAGTGTAATGATTAAAATTAAACAACCTTGCCCACAAAAATTAATCCAGCTCAAATAGGGCTTTTAACCACATCACTGGGCACCAGTACAATTCAGCATTAGAGAAACATAATGCTGCCACACTGCAATGGAAATGAACCAAGAAAAATAGGTTAAATAATCGCTGCTTCACCCTGAGCTGAAAGGATCATGATCATTTACATACTGTTCTACATCCTTTCGACCAGTTCCCAATGGGACCTGGGCCTGACGGGCCAATGGGAGCTATGGGGGCCATGGAGCCACACCACATGAACGGATCACTAGGTTGGTTTAAACACAGTGTGTCTTAACAGGTCTCTGATAGACTTTGTCTGAGGGGTGTACAAATGAAACAAGACCTTATGTTGTTTACCTTAGAAACAATTGAACATTCTCTCTCCTTCACCTCCTCAGGGTCTGGGGATATGGATGGGTTGCCAAAGGTGAGTAAAAATCAGATTTTCTCTAAACTTTTTTTTTTTTTTGTGTGTTTTTGTAAATTAAACCATTTATTTAGAATCTTGACTTTTCTACACTTGAACTTGTTGTTTTTACCTTCTCTCCCTCCAGAGCTCTCCCAATAACATGGGGGGCATGAACAACCCTCCTGGAACGCCGAGAGATGACGGCGAAATGGGCGGGAACTTCTTGAACCCATTCCAAAGCGAAAGTGTAAGTAGAGCGAGTGAATGGCATCTCACGCCCCTTAACAGTTATCCTTGACGTCCTGACATAAACCAGTGGAAGAATGCAAGCAGAGGGTTCACCTGATTTGAAGTTTGTGTCTCGTTAGTCACACATTATATTGTTCGATCAGACAGTAGTAGTTATGACTATGCTCTTCGCTCGTCTTTCTTTTAGACCCTGTAATCATCAAACACTCTGTATGAGAAGTAAAATAGTCAAAAAGATGTTTGAAGTAGAGGATTTTACCAAAATCTTGTGCCCAATTCGCCACTGACTCTTTGAAAACCTACCCAAGCCCAACAGGCCCGAATAGAGAGAGAACACGACCTTAACAGTGTCATGACGCACCAGTAATCAACAAGCAACCAGTCAAAGGGAAAACAGCAATACTTGTTCATTTTTCCTGCAGCTCACACCTCACACTCTGCGTCATGCATCCAAAAACACATTTTATGAAGATTATGACACACCACATGGTCAGAGCTGATTGCTGGTCTACTCAGATCAGGAGACCCATGGCAACACAACACGACCCAATTAAGACAGATTTTTTTTTTCTTTTTCTTATTTTTTGATCAACCCAATTTGATTGACAGGTCAGATCTCTGTTACAAGGGACAAAGCAGACCTGTGAAGACCTCTAGTTTCAAGTGCAGCATTATTGCTTAAACACAGTCTTTATACTTTATTACTTGGGACACAGCACAGTCAATTTGACATACAAAACTTTGTACGCGCACAACGGCCTGTTCATTGTCCAAAATGGTAATAAAAACAGGGCTGTAAAGAAGATCTGATATTCTGCTTGCATTGTAGCCGCTTACTAATCACTTAGAAATCATTCTACACCCTCTGTATCAGTGTTGTGATGATAGTCGATATACTTGTCAGTACAAATGCCTTGGCTGTTTCATTTACTCGTTGTTTTTAAAGATAAATAAGAAGGGACTTGAGGATTTTTTTTTGTTTGTTTTAGATACATTTAAAAAGTAAACACTAATGTGACAATATGAGTTCCTTACCGTGAGGAACACAACAGGTGGAGGGGGGTACTGTTCCCTTGCATTTTGTAAAAATTGTGATGGTCTCTTACCCTCGGCCTGGAGAGCCACGGGGTGCGCAGGCTAGAATTATAGCCAAGCCCTAATACCCTGATTCAACCAATCAGCAGTGGGGCTGGGTATCGTTTGAAATGTTTCAATATTAATGCCAATGTTAGTGAATTTCGCTATCAATTTAAAAAAAAAAAAAAAAAAAAAGATACCTCTTCAGTTTCTTACTTTGTGGCCATACAAGGTCTTTGCTCAAGTAAAACAGTCCAAAATTGGCAAAACTGTGATTTAAATCGGTAAATATTGGGTCAAAAAAGAAGCAAACAGTACTCTATAAACAATCTAGCTATCCAACTCTTTTGACAGTTTATTGACTGATGAATTCCATCACAGAGGTTCGATACCCCGCCCCTATCATCTGAATTATTGCAGTATTGATTACTTGTGTCAGGTGTATTAGAGAATGGCTGGAACCTAAGTCTGTGCTTCCTCTAGCTTTGCAGGGCTGGGTTTGAGCTCCCTCTGGTGTTTAAATGTTGTCAGTGACATATCCACTCATCTGTGCCCTCCTCCCCCTTCCCTCTCTCTCTTTTCAGTATTCACCCAACATGACGATGAGTGTGTGATTTTATTTTTTCCTTTTTTTTTGTATTTTTGTTTATTCTCCCCACCCCCACCCCCTTATTTTTTGTACCCCTGCACCTGTATTTTTTTTTTTTTCTTCAATTCAATCCTTCCTTCACCTCGGATTGGACCACCTCCCCTCCTCACACACACACAAACACACACACATACACACACACACAAACACACGCCCTCTGCCCCCTAAACCCAAATATGGGATCCGCTATCTCCCCCTCTTCCCACCCCCTCTTCTCACTCGGGAACTCTACGGCCACACAGCCTTCCGGGACGGCCCTTGAGCATGCTGGGACTCTAATTAAGACGGGCCCTCCTGGAGCATGCAAGATGGCTGGCGGTCTGAATAGGAAGCAGTCACAGAGCCACAGGAAGAGCCTCCTCTCTGACTCCGGCCCCGGCCTCCCTGGCTTCCTGTCAGGGTCTAGACAATGAGCGAGGGAAGGAGGACAAACAGAGAGAAAGAGGGAGAGAGGAGACTGGATAACACAGCCCTCCCCTGAGGACACAGTGTTGGTTTCTCTCTTAGCAGCTGCCTGGAAGCTTCTCAACCACGACTTTGGACTTTTTAAAAATTTTTATCGTCATTTATTTTTTCTTTTCTTTTTTTTTTTTGTTGCTGTTCCCGACGGATTCAGTGGAGGGTCGGACCTTTTGTCCCACACATTGTTCTCTCTGTCTGTACATTTTTAACAGAGGTGTTGTGATGATCAGTGAACTTTTTTTTTTTTCATTTTTTGTGTATGTATTGTATCATTGCTATTTTTATTATTGTATTATTGTTATTAATTATATTGGTATGATCATTTTAAGATTAGGTTCTAATTTCTGTTGTTTCTAAGGGCACATTATTATGATGAAGACAGTATATGTGCACACAGATCAGAAATTATTGGCTGTGTAACACATGGCTCTATGTGAGCACACTGCCCCCTGCAGGTAAGATTTGATCCATCATGGTACTGATTGGCCCTTTTTGTTTTTGTATTTTTCTGAGGTTTGGCGAGTTTCTTTAAAAGATCTAAATTTTTTAACGTCTTGTTCAATAACCCACCAGAAGAAGAAGCGGCTCCTGTTTTAGTAGCTTCCATGCAGTGAAATGCACAGCTCTATTTATTTATGTACTTTTAATTTGTCTTATGAATCATTGTTACCTTTTTTTTTTTTTAATGTTAATCCACCTGTTTTATGTTAACTGCAGAACTAGTAGCAACTATGTAAATATGCAGATCCACTCAGCATCGTCTCTTTATCTCCGTCTGACATCATTAGACCCCTCTATCCGAGCCCTGAAGGTGCTGACGTTAATCACTTGGTGTCGACCATTTTGACACCCCCACCCCCATGCTGCTTCCACTAATGCTGCCCACTTAGGTCACTGCTCAACTCCAGCGTGTGCGTAGGCTGCGTTTATCGTCTCTCTGCTGACCTGTAGTGAACACTCGTATTGTTTTTGTTTTGCTGATGAGTCCTCAACACACTGTGATGTATGTCGGTGCTTTATGGAAATTTGCTTTCACACACCAGTCAGTCGAGCTTGCAGACATTTTGCTCTCATACACGCGGTGCTCCCTCTTGACGGTCGCCTCTGGTAAAAGGACTTGTGGCTCTCTGCTGATCGGATCCTTTGGTGTTTTTATGTTGGAGAAAAGCAGGACAGGAAGTGGTGAGGCGTTGCTCCGTCGACTGTAACGAGTGGCCTCCCTCCCTGTGCTCATCTTGAAGAAAAAGACCTCCGTCCTTTTCCCCTTTTCTCACCTCTCCAGCGGGCCAGCATCAATACACCCAGTCACACATCACCCCTCTCTGATTCTTTTTTTTTTTTTTTTTTTGTACAACTCTCCATCTTTTTGATTTTAATTTTTTTGTAAATACTGTAAAATGCATTTTGATATCATTGACATGTTTTGATATTTCAGATCACAACTTAACAGTTGATCAGAAACGTGCTGATTCGGGCAACTGTGTGTATTTGTTCAGAGATGGTGTGTCTTTTACTCAGAAATAATATGAATGATGAGAAACAGAAACTGGAGCTGCTATAGACTATTATGCTATTTCACCTCATCATAGACAAAACGTGGGGCTTTACTGTGCACCCGAGCTGTAGCGTCAAGGGTTCATAAGAGGACGAGGGAGGAAGATTTTGTAGTCGAGTGTGTGTGAACGCCTTTAGATAACTCACTGTCACACACACATTTCCTTGAAAACTCTTAAAATTAAACATGATTCTTGTCCAAAAGCCTCCGTCCTCTGCCTCTGTTCTTGGAAACTGTTGGTTCGAGGTGGCAAGGTTTTTATTTTATTGTTTGTTCTTTCTGTTGCCATTTTTAACAGGGAATTTGCAAGAACAGAGCAAAAGAGGTCAGTTTTTCATTAATAAACTTGTCCCTTCTTTGTCTGCCTCCGATGCACTGCTATTCAGCTTTTACCTTCTTGACACAACTGAAACCGAAAGCAGAGCACACAGGACACTGGCTCTCAATCCAACACACCAGGGACCAGAGTACAGACTTTACTATGAAGGATTTTTTTTATCTATTTAAAAATGGGGCAGGAGAAATGTTCGGGAAAGTAAAAGAGGAAAAAAAAATAAAAATAATGGACAGATTTGTTGCTAAGACGAGGTAGAGAGAGTGCGGGAACAGGCGTTTCCTCCCCTGTACTTTGAAATACTGTTGTATAAAATGCAGTCAAACTTCTCTCTATCTTTCTGTCCTGTAAGTAAAGCCGTCACAACGTTGATCATTTCTGTATTTCTATTGTGCTGATGTATAATACTGTAACATTCAGGGGTAGGGAGGGTTAAGAGAGGAATTTTTGGGAGTGGGAGCAAAGATTTTTCTGTTCAGTTCCTCATTTTTCCTCTTGATGACAAAGCAGTATTGAATATGAGGCAGTCTGTCCTTGGGGAGTTGCTTTGTATCTCATGTTAGGGTAGTTTCAGATCCTAAATGTCTCGTGTAGTAAAATAAGAGGTTCCTTCTTCGTATGTTTCTTTATATTGTAAAGTTTCTTTAGATAAAAAAAAATGTTGCTTATTGGAAAAAAGGTGGGAAAACTGCATTGATAATAAATGTATTTTTTTTTCTTTTTTTTTTCTTTTTTTTTTCTTTTGGTTTTGTTTTAATTTTCATCAAGTTGTCAGTCGTTTTTGCCTGTGTCCCCCTTGTTGTAGATACATATTAAAAACAAATAAAATGACTTCACTCCTTTTGCCATGAACATGAGCTTTTTTTCTGTGTTTACAGATTTATCTCCAGTTTTTCAGTTATCTTGGCTTTTTTTTCTCTTTTGATCAGGAAGTGTGTAGATTGTAGAAATTTTACAGATTCTCTCGACTGTATTTCTCTGTATGCCAAGAAATGTTAATATTTTGAGCTCAGTGGCTCCCAACCCGAAGGACTCAAAATATTATGAACAACAACATTTTTTTTTTTCAGAAATATTTGCTTTGAGATTTACCATTTCAGCATTTAAAAATATTATTTATTCTATTTATAAACAGTCCGTTTGGCTCACAGTTCATAGAAATAAAAAAAAGATGGGTTGTGAGTAACATACTTTGGCTCTAAAGGGTCACATGTCAAACAAGTTGGAAACCACTTGATCAAACTGGGTTATTTTTACAGGCCAAGGTTAAAAATACCTTTGAAATACTACAGTAAATTTCTCAGATTTTATGCTGTGAAGGTGTTACATCAGTCACATTATGCAAAAAAAATACTCTACATGAAATATCTGCTGTATTAAAATAACATTTGGATTAAATTCACGACTTGCTCAAACCTGGAAAAGGCAAAATCCTTCTGATTACAGCTGTAATTAGGGCTACAACTAATTATTGTCATTATAGATTAATTTACTGTTTACTTTTGTGATAAATCATTTAATTATTTGGTCACAAGTTCAGAGATGTCAAGTTAACGAGTATAAATTACATGTTTTGTACAAGCAAAAGTGAAAAACCCAAACATTTTCAGTTTTACCATCAAGGAAAACCAGCAGATACTCACATTGAGTTTTTGACCTTTTTCTGCCTAATGGTTTTCTTTTCCTTCAGATTTTTTCATCATTAAAAACTAATCAGGTAATTGTTTCAGTTGCAGTCATGATCCTGTTGTCTTCCAGGTCAGACTAATTCTAAGTGATGCTGAATCAAATTAACAGGCACAACAAGTTTTTTTGTCACCTCTTCTTTTTTTTTAAATTGTTCCTTATTTTATTTTTTATTTTTTAATTCTACTATGTTTCAAGACTCAAGTGCAGTCCGTTTGTGGAGATAGATTCACGAGACTTTGTGGGAGTGAGGATTCATCAAGATGCCCTCCTGAGTAAAGTAACAAACCCCACTCTCTCCTCAGATTCTGGCTGCTGCTTAATTTGAGGTTAAACTTTATGCTTTCTCGTGTCAGAAGAATTTTATCACAGAGGGACAAAGTTGCCTCCAACAGAAGTCTCAAAGCCCCAAGTGGTTCATCCCCCCTCCTCCTCTGATCTGTTCGAGCTGCACTGAGTGTCGACGCGGTGACCTCCTGCTCCTCTCACTGCAGCAGGAGGCAGGAGGGGCGACCAGCGAGGTGACAGAGAAGGAGAGGGGCAGCGGAGGGAGCAGCGCTGGTCTTACAGATGCTCTGGATGAAGAGGAAGGTGTGGAGGAGCTGGGCGGATGAGGCAGAAACGCCATGCTCCTGCTTTTGGAGAGTGACACCTGTGTTGGTATCTGTAGGTGAGAGTCTGATTGATTGACTAAAGGAGGGAGGTGAAGCAGAGGCGGGACCACCATGACAGAGGGGAGGGTGTTTCTGCGGAGTCGGGAGTGAGGCGACGGGCAGGCAGGAAGCTTATCCACAGAGCTCTTCTGGGTCTTGTTGTCCAGCGTTGACCCTCCAGGTGTCAGGCACCTCTTTGGCACCACTCTGCTCGAGGTCACCCGAGAGGAACTCTTCATCTCTGTGAGGGACAAGACTGACCGAGAGACCCTTGG